AGCTTGAGATGAGTTTATACTTGGCATGCTTAAAATTTTTAATGTTCATACTTGATTTATTTTTGGCTTGTTTATATTAGTTCAAAAGCTAAAAATCAAAATAAGTACTTAATTTTTCAAATAAAATTAAAATTTTGATTTGTGCATAATTTTTCATATAAAGTTAGTAAACAAATTAAAATTTTAAATGAGTATTTAATTTTTTATATAAAGATATTAACAAATGATTTTATAGACTTATATAAATAAATAATTGAATAGATTTTAGATTATCATCAAACTAATTTATACAGAATAAATAAAATAATATATAAGTTATAACTAAGGTTTTTTGGGTAAACAAATAACATAAATAAGTGCGAACAAATTAGTTCAATAAAATAAAAAAATTTCCACTAAATTTATGTGTATATTGATATCAATTATAATATATTATTATTAAATGTTATTAAATAAGCTTTAATAAATTAAATTTTATTTAAATAATATATCATATAAGTATACAAGAATTAAATAGTTACTTGTTGAATAACAAATGAGTTGTTCGTGAACATTAACAAATGAATTGGACTATGTTCAATTTCAGTTTATCTAAGTTTTGAGTTTTTAAAAACTGTTCAAACTTATTTAGTTACTCATTTGAACAAACATGATCGAGTATTATTCAAGTCGAGTTCAAAATCATTCATCAAGTGCATTGGTTCATTTATAGCCATATGAATTATCAGTAGCTGTGATTGATAACAATTGTTTCAATCACCTGTTACAATTTTGTAGCCAATTATGATCGTTATAATCTTGGACTATGATTTTTGTTGCCAACTACTATTATTATACTCACCAACTACGATTCTTTTTGTCCAATTATGATCATTGTAGCCAAAATATTATTATAAAGATGTAATTATCATTTTTTGTAATATTATTTTTTTAATTCAAGGCAAGAGTGATTGATAGTGCTAATTCACAAAGACATTAAATATTATTTGTTATATCTTTATAATAGCATACCATCACTATCTAAATATATTATTGACATTATATTATAGTAAATTCACATTGATGATATTCCATACATATATGTTTCAAATTTTGTGAGCTTATGAGAGGATTCTTGGCCTAGTAGTTGAAGGAGAATATTGTTACTCAAAAGTCACATAATTGGCTCATATATTTTATATTTTATTGCTAACCATTCTAAGAAAACTTATATCTAAGTAAAACATTTAGAAACAATATCTTTACTAGAAAAACCTTAAAAGGTTCTAAATATTCTTATTTTTATTTGATAAAGAGCATATTAAAGTGCCCAACTTTTCATTGCTCAACTTTCACCAAATGTGAATTGTAGTATCAAATTTTGAATGTTGATTACAATATTTAAATTTCGCGATTTTAAAATTCTTGATTTTTTAAGAATATGATTAACCACAGATTTAACACTGTTATTGTCAGGTTTTAAGCCTCAGATGCAAAAAAATGGAGAGTTGCGTTATGCAATCAGCATTCAGAGCAAAAATTCATCGAAAAATCATATAAGATTGAGCACATGCTTTTCTTCAAATTTGCTCTTCAGATTCATCTCATTGATTTAATTTGTAAAAATAAAATTATAAAAAAGGCATTTTATTTTCTACTAAATAATATTAGTTCATTTCATTTTCTTCTTAAACAATGACTAATTTCTCCTCCATTTTTGACTTTCATATATTATAATAAGCCTGCCCATTTCTTCAAAACTTGGCTCATATATCACACAAGCATGAAACCTAACAAACAAGAAAATGATCACCACATATTTACACATCTAACCCCTAATTTTTAATTTTTACACATATACCGCCTTATCCATGCATAAAAATGTATATATTTCACTTCTTCAAAGTTAAGATAGTAGTTTCTGATGAGACACAAATGATTTCAATAGTGTAAATATGAAGAATAAAATTTAGGTGCAAGACATATAACCATAGAAAATATGG